CCCCTACAGACGTTTGGCTGTGATGGAGGTTTGAGCCATCGAAATCACAGGAAAAAAACAGATTGTGAGTTCATTGCCGAGCAGCTGCAGCTTGTTTAGCAGTGAGAGAGCCTCACTGCGAGGGCTGCTGCTTTCCTGCCTTACTCATTCATGTACCTACCTGGCCAGATTTCAGGGAGGGAGGAAACACTTCAAAAGCAAGAAAATCGAAGCTGTGAGCCTTGCCCTGAGAATCCCTCGTTGAACAGGAGCCTACAGGCCAAGGCTTTGCAGCTACTCCTCGTTGCCACGGCGGGGAAGCGGGCAAGACAGCGGGGGCTTGTATCCGCGGGTCTAAGATTGCAGGAGCTGTTCTGGGGCTGTGGAAAAGCGGGAGCGTGGAGCTGGGCTGCGGGCAGGCTCCTGCACCGCCCGACTGCAGTATTTGCACGCAGCTCTGTAGGGCTGGTTCCGAAATCTGCTGGTGAATAACACTGGGCAAAGTATATTTCTTCTGGGGGCCTTCTTAACACTTTAAAAATGTAAAGACTAAATACTGAGAAAGTTGAGCTAAAAGAGCAACTGATTTGGGGCTTCTTTTTGTTGCTTTGTTTTCATGGCTTTGGGTGGGGAAAGCAAAAAAAAAAAATTATATCAAATCGTTTTGGACAAAATCGAATATTTTGTCCCCACAATAACTGGTAATGGAGATTTTAAAATTTTCCAAGAGCAACAAGACTGCCTTAATATGTATTCAACTCCAACAAGAGGCATTAGCACTACTCACTTCTGAACCCGCTTTTTTATTTTTCTCTCCGTGTGATCGTGGCATGGAATCATGTCTTAACAAAATACTCTTTACACTACTCAACAGGATGTCCAGAAACAGAAGACAGTGGTTCAGAATCTCCCCGTGCCGAGCATTGAAGTGATGGCTTTGAAGCCAATGAAATTCAATGCAAAATTTCTGCTTTATTAGAATTCTACAAAACAGGCAAATGTCCACAATTCCCAAGGTTAAACGTGCTCTGCTGCCTTGAGATGCCTTCAAAAAACCCTGGGATCTGTATGCTGAAAAGAGCTTGAGAATAGCTTCCCTGGTCTGCAGCAATATCCCCAGCTCTGCTAGAGCGTACACAATTCCCCAGGCAGTAGATGAACAGAGTAAGATGACTTTCAGCCAAGACTCATTGCTTTTTAGATTGCATGTAGTTAGAAACATGAGTTCTGCCAGCCGCCCAGGGAATTTGATACTCAGTGCCAATTAATTTTTGTAATAGGAACAGGGATTTCTTCCCTTGGTTCCCTTAGGCACCTTTGAAAAGTGTAAGCCTCAAAGGTTGGTTTGGATTTTTTTTTTTTCTGGTGGCCTTTTTCCTGAAGAGCAGCAGTGCCGAGATGAGAAAGGGGGTCTGTGAAGGGTAGCAGCGTTGGGGCAGGCAACTCCCAAACTTTCCATTGCAGAGGTTTTCTAAACTCTTCAGATGTGGGTAAATTCTGCTCTGCCAGGTGGGACTCCAACCTCTCGCTGCTCTCTGGTCCTCCTGCTCCTTCCTCCTGCCCCTCAGCACCTCCTCATGTCACTGTGCCTTCATTTGGTTTATAAAATGATACCATGATTTAAGACTGGCACATTGTCTTTACTCTCACTTTGCATCCCATAAGACAGGTATGTGTGGAGGGGGGGGGTAGCTTATTTTGTAGCTTTTTGTGTGATCCTAAGGTAGGTTTATTCTGAGGAGTAAAGGGGTGGGGACAGTGGGAGCAGGGATGAGCCGGTGTTGTATTTGGTCATACCAGTGCTTTAAGCGGTCAGAAACATGGTTTTCCCCTACCTCTGAGCTCTCAATGCTGCTAAAATCTCTGCCATTCGTACAATGTACTCCAGCCCCCTCTCTCAGACCGCCTCTGGCTCTGTTTGCAAGATATCCACATTGTTCTAAAGCATGCACCTCTTTCTGTATAGTTCCAATCTTCTGATTTTATGGAATACTTATGCCTGTTTGCATTACAGTCAAAATAAAAAGGTGAACTAAAATCTAGTGGACCTTGTTCTTCTCTTATCTCTGGGTTTTTAATGCTGAAAGGCCTCTCCTGATATCTTGGCCTTGCTCTGGTTCGCTACCTGTAATGCCAGAGCACTGTAAATAGGATGGTGGCGTCAATCAGCAATACCTATTTATCTCCAAAACAGAAACACTTTCTTGTAAGGTTGCTTGAGTCACAGCATTACATCTTTCACATCATTTTTACCATGTCCACCAGGAAAATGCCACAGTCAAGCAAGGAGGGCTGTTCGCACACAATCCAGGGCAACTTTTGATGCTGGAGCCTCAGGAGCACGGCAGCAGTACTCCAGGCAGGACCTGAGAGACCTGAGCAAAAAGAATGGCTGCATGTGGCCAGGCGAATGAGCCCGAAGCACGGACATGGCTTTTTACATGGGAAGGTAGTATGCTGTGGCAAGGGGGTACTAATCTGCCTTTATTTAAATAGATCACTGCTTAGCGCTCCCTGAAGAGCAGCAGGACATGGATGTGGCCAGGGCAGAAAGACCCTAGGCTGTCTGCAAGGAGCAGGTGAGGGGATGAAAGGCACCCATCCCTGTGCAGGAGCGAAGGGCTGCTCCCCGGCAAGCCAGGCCGGCGCGAGGGGAATGTGGCGGTGGTGTTACCTCATATGTGGCAGTGGTTTTACCTCAGGCATTGCTGCCGTTACACCCTCAGAGGCAGCGGCAGTGTGACCTGAGACTGTCATGGTGTGACCTCAGACATGGCAGTGGTGTGACCTCAGAGACTGCCGTGATGTTACCTGAGGCATGGCAGCAGTGTTACCTCAGATACGGCAGCGGTGTGACCTCAGACACGGCAGCAAACACCTTGGTGTCACCTCACACGCCACACTGGTGTTACCTCAGTCCCCACAGTGGTGCTACCGTGGACATGGCGGCGGCATTACCTCAGGTGTTACTGCAGACATGAAGGTGGCATTACCTCAGGTGTTACCACAGACACAGAGGCGGCATTACCTCGGGTGCTGCCACGGATATGGTGGCAGCGTTACCTCAGTGGATGCTTCACCTCTGCCCCCCAGGCCCCGTTAGCCCAGGGCACAAACCACTTGCATCCCCCGGGCTCCCTGCAGCCTCCCCATGAGGCAGGGTCGGCCTTGGTCTCTGACAGCCCCGGCTCCACCGGGCACCCGCGGCGGCCGGCGGAGCAGACGGGGTTTGGAGGGACTGGGGGTCCCCAGGCCCGCCTCCCCACCGGCCCTGGGGGCTGACGCCTCTCCTGGGAGGGGGGGGGGAGGGGGCGGGCACT